ACAGAGACATAGAGACAGAAAGCGAGAAATCATCCCCCAGGGGGGATGGTCACGCCGCAATCCCTTCTCCTCCATTCTCCTCTCGGGATCTTGGGCATGCACGCACATGCGCCCGGCGTGAGATTTAAGCCACCGGGTCCGAGACGCGAACCGCGGTCGACTACGTGGGAGTCCAGCGACATAGCCATTACGCTAACTGCCGGTTCCCTTGATGGTTTTTTTTTTTAATAAAACTTTTACCTAAGCTTTAATAAAAACCTGATGGATTAAACAGTAGGGTGAAAATGCTTTTACAGTGATAATATTACCAGCAGGACTAATTCTGGAAATACTGTCCAGAGAATAAAATGAGGTTTGGATCGTTTCCCCTCTCCTTCTGTCACCTTCTCTCTTGTTCTGGAAGGGGCTGATACCCACTTTCACCCTCAGCCGCTGTCCTGAGCCATTTCCTAAGGTGAGGTTCTACCATATTCAGGAACCCCTAACAACTCCCCGTCCACTAGCAGAACAGTTCCACTGTGCAGCCTTCTCGGGACTCTAATACTCACAGGACGAAGACCCTTCCTTTGTGGACAGGCCTACCCTCCCTCGCAGGGAGATGGGTGGAAGGCACTCAAGGTGGACAGGTACTAGGGAGGGAGAGGGAAGGAAAGGAAACAAGTGGGAGAGGAAGGCCGTAGGAGAGAAATAAGGAGAGGAGGAGGGACATAAAGATAAAAGGGGAAAGGAAGAGGAAGAGGAAAGAGAGAGCGCATGACAGAAAGGGGATGTGTGGTGGCCAGCCCATCTGTGGAGAATGAAAGCAAGAAACAGCCACTTGGTGAATGGTCTGGAGACGCGTTGTTTCCCTTTCTGATCCATTACTCTAGTTCTGATCATGGAGTCTCAACCCGATCAAGGCCAATCAGATGTTCTCTCCCAGGAATTTGCATGTTGAGCAGAGCTGCCAGCAATACCCTAGCGGGTTGACGAGTTCCTGCCACTAAGATCTCTCGAGCCACCAGGCTTTTCCGTCCTTCCCAAGGTCTATGTTTCGTCCCACCTTCCATCCCGCCAACTCCCCAGTGCCCTTTAGTCATGGGCCGAACTCCCCAAGTCACACAGTGAGTTTGAAATTACATGCAGAGGGGTCGCTGGGGAGCACTCTCAGGAACAAGGTTTGTGAGGACAGAAGGAAGCAGAACTGGACAGACACATGGAACTGAAATGCAGTCGGCAGGCCCTGGGGAGCTGGAGCAGGGAGGGCCCATCAGAGATATCCTGCCTTGAAGCAACGGGGCCAGGTCTTTGTGCCTCCATAAGAGCAGGTACCGGGTGCAGGCTGCACCCAAGGAAGGGCTGGGACTTTAGGCTCCTTACAGCTGAGGGCAGCTGCAGGGGAGAGCCTCACCTCTGAGGTCCACCAGCCAGCATCCTAGCAGCTGGAAGCGTGTCCCAGTCCCAAAGAGGAGTCAGGATGCATGCTCCAGGGTGTACCACTCCTTCTATATCTCTTTTTCTTATTTAAGTTCAGTCTTTGCTTGAAGCAAGAGCCATGGCTGATATGTATGGTCACAAAGTAATCTCAGACTTCAGACTCCAGTTTGCCTCCTATGTTGGAGAGCTCTCATCAGCAACATCTAAATCAAGGTTTATCTGTCCACTGCACATCACCCCTGTTCAAAAATCAGAACGAGAAGGGAACCAGCAGTTAGCATAATGGCTATGTCGCTGGACTCCCATGTAGTCGACCATGGTTCGCGTCCCAGACCTGGTGGCTTAAAACTCACGCCGGGCATGTGTGCGTGCGTGCCCAAGATCCCGAGAGGAGAATGGAGGAGAAGGGATTGCGGCGTGACCATCCCCCCTGGGGGGTGATTTCTCGCTTTCTGTCTCTATGTCTGTCTCTGTCTGTCTGGCGAGCGCACATGTCTTATAGTGAAAATCTCTCTAAAAAAAAAAAAATTAAATCAGAACGAGAACACAAACTCACACCGACGGGGACCCCGTGCAGGCTGTTAGCCAACGTGGGGTTCTGCCTGTCAGCCTCCCTTTTACAGCAGCCAAGAGTGGAAGGATGCTCTACGGGACTTCTTTTGTCTAGAGTTTTCACATTCTCTCCAAAGCAGGGATCATGGATGACAAGTATTCACACATTCTAAGGAGAAATAATTAACATGTTTTACCATGGAGTCCCCCAAAAAACAGCATCGAAGAAAGAAACAAGAATAAAGGCAGATTAGAGTGTGATGTTATGATTTAAAATAGGACTGATGCATGGATTACATATACACAAGAAGTCCTAATTAAAAATTTTAAGTAAAACAAATAAAAATATTGGGCCAAAAAAATGTTTTTAATTGCCAGGGTGCATGTGCTCATGGAAGATAGGCAGAGACAATCCCTCCTGCTCCATGTCCCTAATCCTGTCAGATTTTTGGGTACCCACATACATGGGTTAGCTCAGGACTAGAATCTTTGATCCCTGAAATGGAACTTCTTTTCATATCTGAAAAGTGATCCAAAACTATAGGATCTCCCCCAAAATATGTTCCTAGGCAGGAAAGGAGGATCTGAAAGATCTGACAAATAGAGTCATTTCCTGATTGTACCTTCCGGGATGGAGGGAGTGATTTTTCTTTTAATGATCAGAGGGCAAATGCACTCACCAGAGAGAGAAAGGAAGAAAGCACCTCCCGAATGGGCGGGGTCACACCACAATCCCCTCTCCTCCGTTTCTCCATCCCGCCAGCCACACACACATGCCCAGCGTGTCTCTCAAGCCACTGGGCTTGGATTTGAACTGCAGCTACCTATATGGGTTACAGCTTCCCCAACCACTAGGCCACAGAGCTGGTCCTCATGAGAGAGGTTTTCAAATGATCTCCTTTGGTAGGAAAACAAAGATCAAATTTTACTGTGCTAAGCTTTGCAGACCCACAGCAGTTCAGGAGTTTTACCATTTAACCATTTCAGACCAAGAAATGTCAGCTCTACTAACATTCACCTTAACTTTATGCTCAAAGCCCCCCTTCCCCCCACTGTTGTTGTTTCTGTTATATGGCACATGCATTTGCTGCACCCTGGGGTGCAGGGGAGTGAGAGATCATCCCTAAGGGGAGATGGACATGCTGCAATCCCTTCTCCATTCTCCTCTCGGGACTTGTGGGCATGCACATACACGTACCCAGGGTGATTTTTTTCAGGCTGCTGCAGCCAGAACTCAAACTGTGGAGCTGGCTATGTGGGATCCAGCTACCTTAACCTTCATGCCATCTGCTGGTCCCCAAAGTAACTCTTAACAAGATGCTTAACCAGGATAATGAAGACTGTAGGAATTCTGTTTCCTCCTATTTCCAGTTGTACATACTGTATTACACAAATCCACTTTGGGCCCAATTGACATTTTTAAAGTGTTTTTACTTTTGTGCATAAAATACCAAATCATGTGCTATTATTCAAAGAATAACAAATTAGTGCTCTAAATAAAACACTTCTAATTGTATTCAATTCATTCACTTAAAAAAAAATTGAACACTCACTGTATGTCCAATTGTCTAAGTCTGAGAAGCATAAAGATTGCCCCAGTTCTTTGGAGCTCAGTGTCTGATGAAGGGACAGGCATGACAACTAGTAATTAACACGTGAGACATGGGAAGGAGGTCAACGGCAGGGGCGTGGCAGCAGGGAAAGGCCCCCAACAACGGTC